GCCAAGTTGCCCAGGCAGGTCTTGAACCCTCAGGCTCAGGCAATCCACTCACCTCGGCCTCCCAAATTGCTGCAATTACAGGCTGAGCCATCGAGCCTGGACTGTTTTTGTTTTTTGAGTCAGAATCTCTACTCTGTCACCCAGGCTGGAGTGCAGTGGTGTGCCCGCGACTAACGTACTGTTGACCTGCCGACCTCAGGCGATCCTTCTGCTTCAGCCTTCTAAGTAGCTTGAACTACAGGCATGTGCCATCACACCTGACTAGTTTTTGATTTGTCGTAGTGACGAGGTCTTGCCAAGTTGCCCAGGCTTGTCTCCAGTCCCTGGGCTCAGGCAGTCCTCTCACCTCAGCCTCCCAAAGTACTGAGATGACAGGATAAGCCACCGCACCCATCGGCTGTTGTGTTTTTTGACTACTCTCTGCCTTTTTCTTCTTGAAGATACTTGTGGAATGAGGGTTTTTGATAAAATGTCTTACGACTTTGACTTTCCTGTCAGACCTTTGTCGGGGAGAAGAGGCAGTCGACTTTGCTCCTTTTTTCGAGTTTTCAGACAAACCCACCAACCAGCTGGCATTTCTCAGACAATCGAGCGAATTCTGCGTCCAGGCTCAGTGTCCCGAGCCAGCCCTCCCGGGGCCCTCTGCAGCCTTGTGACACCTGCAGGCTGAACAGCAGAGGCCTGGGGTCCCGACCTGGCACACATGGTGGGGTGAGGCTGGCAGAGCTGGGTTCTGCGTGGGCGACGGGTCAAGACCCAGCCCTCTGGAGCCTGGTCCTCAGTGCGGCAGGCCGACCTCACGGGTTTCCCAGGGATCACGTGAGCGTGGGCAACTCCCACCTGGGGCCCGCAGGTGGTCTTGGTGGTGAGCCGGAGCTGCCCTCTGCACATCTGAAGGGCTCAGGCAGCTGCACGTGAGTGTGTGGTTAGAGACGCCTCCTCGAGTCCTCTGGGCGGGTTCCTGGCAGTGCCCTCTCAGCCTCCCGTGTGCCCCAAGTGGGGTCTGATTCCGCTGTGGGTTTGTCTCCTGCAGTAAAAGCATGGTCATGCCTTTTGACCCAAGAACTCCCTTTCTGGGGTTCAAAATGCAGAAATAATTATACTGTAATCAATGGTGTTTATCGGTGTGATAGTTAAAAACCCAAGGGCTGGCCCTGGGAGTGTGAGGCAGAAGGAGGGACTCAGCGGTGCCCGCGGAGGGAGACAAAACATCCAGAGGCGTCCACGACTAGATTATTTACACTCCACCGAAGCCATGTTGAGAACAAACATATTCGAAACAATGGGGCGGAATGAAGGCGAGAGAAACAGAGAGGCGGCGGCGGGCTGGTGGGGGGGCCAGGCCCATCTGCGGAGCCTGCCTGCCTGGCTGTGCTCTCGACGCGCCTCCTGCGAGACTTTCTAAGCAAACATCTTTTCGGGTTCCTGGAGGGCGCAGGTCAAGCAAGTGGGTAGCTTTTGGGGGACAGCTGAGGGCCCGTCTGTGTAGCCTGGGTGTGTCTTTAGTGGCGTCAGGGTTCTTGGTGCAGGGTGTCCTTTCCAGCCTATACCCGGCAGTGGGCATCACATAATTTTTTTTTTTTTTTTT